AAGAATCTTTATATTTTATGTAATTGGGGATGTCCCCAGGTAAATATGGGGGTTCATCAGGGAGGCAATGCACAATTAAAGTTTAGATACGATCAGGAAGTTCCCACTATTTGTCTCCAAAAACATTACTTAAGTAGGAACAATGAAAACAAATTTTCTTGACATAATCAAATGGATGCTCATAGTCTTTCTTACCCAATGTCCCATTTTCTGTGTATTTATTAGGAAGAATAGGGATCCTGAAAAGAAAAATGTTTAGAAAAGAAATCCCTTCCTAAAAGAAAAAGAAAACAATACATACTGTTCTTCCATGAATTTAAGTTTGATGTTCAATCAAACAATTTTATTTATTTCTAATCACATAATTACATGCTTTACACGTCATTCACTTCACATGATCAAACACCACAAACTAAATAGTTGATGCATACAAGAACATGGATAATTCTAACTGATATGCCCAATTCTTTCCTACCCAATCTCACAACACACTTTTAATCGTTTAACACAAATTCATACCTTAATCGATCCTTCGTTTTTCTGCAAAACGAAAAAACTAAAAATATTTTTGAACTCTTTTTACTCAAAAAATTTCGAAAATATACCCCAAAAATAGGACCAATTTATGGCCCTACCAAAAAAATTTCAGACGCCCCTTAATAATTAAAAAAAAAAAAAAAATCGGACCATTTTCTTAAAAAATTTCGGACTTCTCTTCTAAAAAAAAAGTTTTTGGACCTCTTCTTTTAAAAAAAAAAATCGGTCCTCTCAAAAATAAATAAATAAATAAATTCGGAATAAAATAAAATAAAATCAACTCAATTTCAAAAAGACTTGTAAAATAAATACTTGGCTAAATTTAAAACAAAAGTACCTTAAAACACGTTTTTGGCTTTTGTGGTAATAAAAATCTAACCAAAGCTCCCAGATACAACTTTGTAACACCTTAGAAATTCCCTCCCTTTAAAATACCTATTTTGCCCTTTTTAAAATACAAAATTGAAAAATTTAAGACATTATAACCACCGTGATAAGGGCTAATGCAATTGTCAAAGACACACAGCGAAAGACTCGTTTCAAAAACCATTTAAAACAAAACTAACTTCAATAGTCAAACCAAACAAAAGCAAATTCAAACCAAACTCAAACAAAGTCTACCTACAACTTGGAACCATTATAGGCCTTTCAAAACCCAAACCAATATTTAAAACAATGTGTTAGTCCAACAAGCAAATAAATAATATTCAAAGTAAATTAAATAAATCATATTTTTATAAGAACTAAACAAAATTCGCTCTTCACTCATGTCCCCAACATGAAAATGCTGCATTACCTGAAAAGTTTCTCTCTAATTTGTCCTAACTACTCGCCATAAGAAATGGGTTGTAGTAGTGCCAAATAAAGACAAGGGCAAACAAACACACAAACACACAATCAGCAACGCTGAGTACATAAGCGTAAACGAAACACACTATTTTATAACATGCTTACAACCTAGCATCACACAACATACCTTATTTCCATGTTTTCAAGCACACAACAAACAACTCACACAGTAGACAATTTAAATATTTATTCATTTGATTACGCATCGAACGGGTTTCGAACCAAATCCCTACCCCAAAGAATTGGGGCAAATTACTCCGGGAGCTAACTGGGTAAGCATAAATGTCACTCCGGGAGCTAACCGGGTAGGCATAAATGTCACTTATGAGTGACAGACGTCCTACGCATAATAATAATAAAAGGAAAATACAGCGTCCTATTTAAAACTATAAGTTATGGCAAATATAAAGTCGCATAACTCCCCCCATATGTTCATACTCAAGGTATATATGTTCTAGAGTTTTGGTGCGTATCCTCTTTTACTTTACGTTGTTTACATAATTTATACTTGGTGATGACTCTCAATCCATAACACAATCAACCAGCATGAATCACTCAAGTAATCAAACGTTCCAGTTCAATTCTTGAATATTTAGTTATCACATTTATTTTAATGTTGAACCTTTTTTAAAATTACCTCGATGTAGAAACACGTTTAGCTTATAAAGCATCGCAAATCCTATCCCTCAATGTATAAACACCTTAAGTGCACTTAGGCACCGCAACATATTTTCTTATCCCTGTGTACAAAGGCACTTAATAGCTCAATTCCCATGCTTATTACATCAATAAAAATTATATGAACCAAAATAAAATTTCATTTCAATATTCCAAACCCAATTAAACATTTAGTTTAATTAAACATACATGTCTTTAATTATGCCAATAATAAAAGTGTGGTCCATACTTAATATTCCAAACATCATCAATTCCAACAATAAATCATTCCACAATATCCATGCCTCGTAAACAATCCACCAAACCAATTCAATTCAATAGTTTCAACCAATTCCTAACATGATACTAACTTGAAACTAACAAAAATAAATCCTAGCATGCTTCTACACGCTTAATAAATGTTAAGTACGCGTACGTATCTCAGATACAATCTAAAAATCGTCACGGCTAAACTAAGTCACTCACTTGGAAGTCTCCTACAACCCATAAATACCAAGAGACACTCCAAACAAATTTCCAGTAATATAAACACACTTTAAAACACTCTTAAACCTCTCAAAACATGTTAAAAATTATTTATAATCAGTAGGTTTTATTCCCAATTAATAGGTAATTAAAAATCCTGTAAGAAACTCTTAATTTAACCTCTACATGCATTAAAATTACAGCAATATAAAACCATTAAAACTTGCTGTAAATTGTTTTTAATACATTAATTTCAATCATATAAACTAACCACAATCAATTTGCATCAATAATCATCAATTTAAAAACCTAGAATTTCATTAATTTGTTGCTTTTTCATATAAAACATAAATATGAAACTTATGTAAAACACCATTAAAATCATCATGTTAATACGCAAAATCAATAATAATATATCAAAGCTTAATTAAAAATCAAGGCAAGAACAAATTTTTTTTAACACAATCGCACATGCACAAAAGGGGAGGGGAGGCTGCCACGCCTTGCAGTGGCCGACTGGTGGGAGTGGTGGTGGTGGCCGGCCACCCTTGTGGTGCGTGTGTGTGTGAGTGACGTGAGGGAGAGGGAAAGAGGGAAAAAAGAAAAGAAAAGAAGGGGAGAGAGAAAAATAAAGTTTACCTCTTGGGTATTTTTACCTTGGGGAAAAAGTCTAATTTTTGCTCTTGGGTGAGTATTTATACTCTCTTTCTTAAACCCTCCTTCCCTAGACTTTTCTTATTTACCCTTAATGAATCCTACTCCGAGTAAAAATAGATATTGACTTTATTTTTAAATCCTTTTAACTTTAAAACTCCTTTGTAATTTAAATATGCCCCAAAGTTTTAAATATAGAAATAAAATATTTTCAAATAAAAAATAATGGGTTTTTATTTAAATAAGCCTTTAAAATAATTAAAAATGAAATGAATAATTTATTTCAATTACATAAAATACGTTATACTAAAATAATAATTTAATTTATAAATCATACAAAAATACGGAATATTACAGTAATATAACCATTTTTTTATAGTTTATTGTTGACCCACTAGAATACAATAGGGTTAACACGATAAATATATTGAAATATATAAAAAAAGAGGCAATTGATTTTACACACTATTAGAAAAAATAATGTTTTTCCCAATGGCCAAAAACCGTTAAAAAATGCAGCCAAAAATGATTAAAGAGGATTTCCGATGGCTTATTGTCGTAAATGTGTTGTTGAAAATCCATTCGCCCAAAAAGTACAATTTTCTAAGAATAAGCTTTCGGATGAAAAGCTTAATTCTGACAGTTTCTATGGCAATCCGAAATCCCTATAACTAACGATCGACCAAACATCGGAAGTCTGACTACCTACTCATAGAAAATCAACTGACAACAGGCCCAAATTGTCGGAAATTAGTGGTTTTTCAGAGTGATATTTTATGATAACTTTTTGTAAAAAATATTAGGAAATTTTGATTTTTACCGATACCACCTCTACATTTAAAAGTTTTATTTTACCACTACCACCACCAAAAAAAAAAAAAATTAAAGTTGGCTTTTACCACCAATAACCCTCAACAAATAGATTACGTCCATAAATTCGTTAGTGAGGCCTACCATGTACATGTGTCACCATATAATTTGACAAAAAAAATTAAAATATCAAAAAAAAAAAAAACAACCTAGCCACCAACTGGCTGGCGACACCCCCACCGACGGACTGACTCCTAACCACCGCCAGAACGGCTCCCAGCCCCACCGCCGGAATGGTACCCCAGCCCTAATCCAAGCCCCAACACCCCTTCCCTAACCCCATCGGATTTCGACCCGCTTCCCACCAATTTTCGACCCCCCTGGTCACTGAATTCCGACCACCCCTAAAACCCCCTCCTACCTAATTCTGACCACCCCTAAAACCTTGGCCACCACCAAATTTCGACCCCCTCCCTAGCCACCACCCTTTTAACCACGCCCTCCCATTTTTGACCACCCATGGAAACCACGCCCGAAACCCTAAACTCAATCGGCACCGTTGAAACTCCACACCCATGGCTGCTGGGCCTATTGCTGTTGGGCGGTCGACTACTTTGTGGGCCAGTTATCGGTGGGCTAGACCAACCGGGGTGGGGTTGATTTCGTTGGCCTGATGGTTGGCATGGAAGATCGAGGGAGATGAAGAGAAAATATCAAAAAGGTGGGCCCCACGAATGGATTCATCGGAATCCGTTAGTTGGTGGTAAAATCTAGTTTTTGAAAAAAAAATTGGTGGTAAAATAAAACTTTAAAATGTAGAGGTGTTAAAAGCCAATAAGTGGTTTTTTTTAAGGTGGTAAAAGTTAAGATTTCCAAATTATTTTATGAAATTAGATAATTTAAAATTATTGCACTTCCAACACCATTATAATTATTTTTTATATTAACAAAAAAAGTTGTTTGTTCACTGATAAAAACTGATTTTTATATATGTTTAAACTAATTGTTAGAATAAATGTTTTCGAAAAAAAAATAAAAAAATAATGGTGTTATCGATATTGTAGCTATAGTATATTAGTGCCGAATCTAATAGTATCAAATTAGTATTTAGTAAACTACTCCGTACTGCGGAGTAAGTTCTTATTATGAATAAAAAATCGCTTGCACCATCCATGAGTAGTATATACCAGTATTATATAACTAAATAAATAATTGCTTCAAAAAAAAAAAAAAATATATTAAAAACATTATTGTAAAACGTTGACAGATTGTAATAATTTTATTAGATATGGAAAAGAAATAATATAAGTTGGGAATTGTCGGCTGAGAAATAAGTCTAAGATGTTGTCAAAAGAAATAAGTCTAAGATGACACCCTAGTACATTCATAAAATAACGTGTATGCTGTACAGTTGTACAATAGTTATATGACTCATATACATATACATTATCCACCCTCCCAAGCACATACATGACAAGTCATCAAGCCAGCTAAGATATGACCTCATCCAATCATACTGGTGGACAAATACCTCGACCTAAAGATTATTTCATTTGTTTTTTCTTTTAATTGATATGCTTTTTTATTTTATTATTTTTTTAATTACGAATGCCAACATAATGTATTTTTTATGAATCATATATAACGTATTTCGTATTGATAAAATTCATGTTAAGAGCTGGATTGAATAATATTGATATGATCTTTGAGCTATTGTAGCTTATGATAATTAAGAGAATTACTTACATGTTTTGTTTGGATCATTCCATCAATTCATTTGTAATTAACAAAACCATTTCAACTATTTTGATTTGAAGGAATATTTGACATCTACAACATAGAAATGATTCAAATTGAGTAAAAGTAGAAATTATTTAGTCGATATTGAACCAGAGAAATTATACAATCAACATTATATTGTTTTCACACAAACAAAACTTTAAAAAAAAAAAAAAAATATAATATTGAAATGTTTCAAATTCTCCAGAACTATAAATTAGGAGTAATTTCAAAATCATACAAGTAATTCTCAAACAGAGGTATGTGATCATTGTAAAGCTTAATAGTCAATAAAATGACACCTTCTTCATTTGGGCTTGGTATAAAGAATGCTTGCCCCTCATGTCTAATACCACCTTGGGCCACAGTATTGGGCTTTCCCCAACCAAAATCTCCTAAATTAAAAGGGAGTTTGGCCCAAGAATTTATCACAAGGTTTGGACATGTAACATGTTCCACCCCACGTACGAGTGTATCCAGATTAGGCTGTGATTCTATGTAATCAATTGCCGATCTCAAGTATTCCGTGCTTTCAACTTTCTTTAGTGCTTCGTGAACCATAGTCGCGGCATACGATACCGGCTTGCACGTGATATCACGCGCCTTAGCAACACAAGCTGCAAAGAAAACGACATTTCCAAAGTATCCTCGTGGTAGAGTTGGATCCCTCAACCTTGACCGCCCATCAGTGGGTATATAGAGTTTCACATATTGATCACCTGTTAAACCGCGTGCTCTACATGTGCTTCTCCATATGTGCCCAGCTAGCACCTCGTATGTACTTAGCTTCAAGGTTTGTGCCTCTTGGGGTTGAGAAGTTGCATGTAATTTTAAGGTATTTATGTAACGTTTAGAGAATTTGAACATACATTCCCTTGCGCTTGACATTTCACCTAAAATCATAGCCACCTTTAGTCATTGTTTGCTACTTGTATATAAAAATTTTATTTGTTCAATGCACACCAATTCAACATAGGCAAATATAAAAGAAATAATTCATAATTGGAAGGATCTTTTATTGAATTGGCTAGTTTAGTAAAACTATATACCAAAATAGCTGCTTTCAAATTCTAATTCAAACTAGCCAAATATTACCAATAACCATTTAATCATTTTTCTTGTAAACCGGATTGGAATATTCCTTAATTTTTGGTTCAATTTCGTTTGATAATATTTGAGAAGATTCTATTAAAACAATTATCATTCTACATCCCAACTAAATGATTAAAAAAAAATGTAGTAAAAAAAAAAAAAAAAAAACTAAATGATGAAATTAATTTATATTTAAATAATTGTACTCTTTAATTTAAAAGGATATATACAAAGCAATGATTATATATATATATATATATATATATATATATATATATATATATATATATATATATATATATATATATATATATATATATATATATATATATATATATATATATATATATATATATATATATATATATATATATATATATATATATATATATATATTTTAAATTGTGTGTTGCACGGTCGCTTGTATTTTTTTAGATCGGACTATTTATGTGTTTATATGATAATTTTATAATTTTATTCGTTGTTTATTTATTTTAATTTTTTTTTATAATAAAATAAAATGTAGATTTTTTTCCCTTAAAGTTCGACTTGTATAATGTAACATAATTTTTTATTTATTAATTTAAAGTCCCAAATTTCATTTGTCAATTTTAAATTTGTGGCATTTGATTGATTTAATTTAGAAAAAAAAATTGCAATTCTTTTTTTTCATTGGCTTAATAACTTTCTATGCGCCGCTCTTACAACTTAGAGAAAATAGTACAGTACATGTGGATGTAAAAGAGGTACTAGCTAAAATGCTAAACATTGGAATATTGAATTTATAATAAAGTTTGATAAAAAAAAACTAATTATAATTGTTTTTTTTTTGTTTAAATTAAGTAAATTATATTGAACCAAAAGAATGGGAAGATTTCAAATCCGGTTCGATTAAGTGGATATATACTATATGTAATAAAAGTATTTGGCCAGTTTTGGAATTAGAATATAAAAATAGTCATTTTGGTAAATAATTTTGATAAACTAGCCAATTTTATAAAAGATCCTAATTCGACTTTCATTAACACTAGTAAACTAGTAAAATTTGACACTCTTCGTTTTAGATAGATTTTGTATTATTCACATGTCTTGTTTTAACCATAAAAGTGTGTCAACCATCAGATACTGGGTAAATATAAAGAAAAGTTTGTGTTAGAATAATGTGACTCGAACCTGTAAGACCCTTAGGTAGTATGGGTGGCAAAGGTGGCTCATACTCCAAATGTCGAAATTTGATCTGAGGCGGATCACGGGGAGCAACATAGAGGGCCCGATCGTGGAAGGGCATAACGGGGAGGTCAAGCCCCCTAGCAAATCTAGCCCATGATACAAGGAAGTAACCAGACGCAAATCCATCAATTACATTGTGGTGTGTGGCGCACCCCATGCATACACTACCACACTTGAATCGTGTGACTTGAACCATTAGCAAGGGGAACGACGAAAGACCACCCGAGAAATCGCACGTAGGGATCGCTACTTTGCGAAACTCGGTACCTAAATCCGCAAGAGTATGCGTTGTTTCTACCTCTTTGAATAAGGCACCGGCCGCATTACAATCGATCTCGTATCGACCATTCTCTTCATTCTTTTTTAATCTTCCTGCCATCGGATAGAATGGCACTAGAATTTTACGTAGAGACTCCTTTAAAATCTCTGTGTCGAAAAATTTTTGCCCGTTATTATCCTTTACAGGACTATAAACGGCTAAAATGTTGGTGTGGGAATATGGCATGCGTATGATCATGTCTAGCCTCGAGAGCCAAAGATTTCGCTTTGGAGTCTCCTCGGCCGGGCGCACCATGGTCGACTCTCTTACGATCACGCTCATTTTTGTAATATTTTTTTGGTTTCTCAATCTTATGTTTAAAGCTTAAAAAGTGATCAAAACAATGGAGGACTTATGAATTAGAGCTTGGGATACAATTAGCGTAGACTTTTAAGTGATCAAAAGGTATCTAGGCCAACTACTATGTGATAGAATAAACAAAAGGGAAGAATATTATTGTGGCCAACTTCTACTCGTATAATATTATGGAAAGAGTGAGTCATGCTTTGTCTTTGAATTAGTGATTGATGATTAATAAATTTCATCATCTTAAGGAAAAGATACTAGAAGCACTACTACTAATAAAAAAAAAAAAAAATGCATAAAGAACTGTCAAAATAAATTTTATAGAACATCTTAAGACGGTTTTTTGTGGTGATGTTTGGTGTAGATGGGGAATAAGATTGAGATAATGAAGCAATAAATGCAAATTATTCCTTTATGTTCATTAAAAGGAAAATAAGTCATTTTCTTTCCTATCTTTACCGATCCCTTTCTTTATACTATCTTTTATTAAGATTTTAAATGAGACAAATAAAAGAAAACAGAGAAAAGTATACGCCATGTTAAATTTTATTGAGAGACTTATCAAAATATTGGCCTAACAACATATGAGTAAAAATTTGAGTAGGCCTAACGTCGTACTAATTAGAATAATTGGGATTATAGTAAGAGGATTTCGATGTTATTTAATGAATGATTGAGAATATACTTCACAAAATATGGATTATCTTGTTATGATTTGAAATCATTAGAATTTAGAAATGATTAGTGGAGGTATATCCTTTTTTAATTTTGAAGAAGTCATTGATTGCAGATGTTGCACCAACTACACTTGATTATTGTTTGAAGTGCTCCTACCAAACTTTTGGTGATCATCAGTTGGAAGACAGCAGTTGATTAATGGTTAGAAACTTATTGTTCATAGTTTAAAAATATATGTCAAATTTCGACTTTTTGCATTATTTGTTTTTTATATACTGTATATAACTATAGGTTTTTTTTTTTTTTTTTTTTTTTTTTTATTTTTTTATTTTTTTTTTATTTATCAATACTAGCCTAAAACATGTTATCATGTACAAATGTAAATTTTTTGAAATAGTACAAATACTGTTTTCTTAGTAGTATATTAGATTTTTTTTTATTATTTTTTTTTAAATATCAAATTTTTATGATTTTTGGTTATAAATAGTAAAAAATATCTAACTAACGCCCGCAAAATAACATAAAATTACGTACTTATCCTTATAATAACGATTATTAAAATAATTAATTTTACCTCAATTTCACACTTTTACCGTACAGAGAAATTTTAATCGTTCTCTCCAGTGGTCAACAGCCACCAACGATCATCGGACCAACCACCGTGATTTTCAAAAGCAAACAAATTTTTTAAATTTTGCAAATCAAATTTATTGGATCTTATGGACGACGACGAAATACCGGAAACACAACCTATGCTGCTCGCCGAAGGCTCGTCGGACCGTATGGACTCGATGTGTGCTGATAAAAAAAATTTAAAATTCAAAACCCAGGCAAACGCCTAGGATTTTCGAAAACCCTAGGCTGAAACGCCTAGTTTTTTCGAAACTTCGGCGTTTCAGCCTAGGGTTTTCAAAAATCCTAGGCGTTTGCCTGGGTTTCGATTTTTTTATTTTTTTTTTTTATTGTTGTGGTTGTTCGTGTTTTCTAAACGTTTCATCTCAACCGGTCGTTAACGTGTTTTTTTAAGAATTAAATTACAAAATTGATAGAAAATAAATTCGAAATTTCCAGGCAAACGCCCAGAAATTTCAAAAAACCTAGGCAAAAACGCCTAGTTTTTTCGAATACCCTGGGGTTGTTCGAAAAAATTAGGCGTTTCTGCCTAGGTTTTTCGAAATTTCTGGGCGTTTGCCTGAAAATTTCGAAAACAAAAAATTAAATAATCGGAATTTCGAACAAAAAAATTGAATAATCGTACCGATTCCGTACGATCCGACGAGCCTTCGACGACCAACGTAGATGGTGTTTACGGTCTTTCGTTGTCTTCCATGGGATCCAACGAATTAGGTTTTGTAAAATTTAAATTATTTGTTTGATTTTAAAAATTACAGTAGTTGGTGGTTCAACGTGATCGTTGGTGGCGGTGAACACTAGAGAGAACGGTAAAAAATTTAATATAGGGTAAAAGTGTTAAGTTTAGGTAAAAAGAATTATTTTATAGTATTTTTATAGCAAGGTTGCGTACGTCATTTTAGGTTATTTTGCGGGCGTTAGTTAGAGATTCGAGGGCGACGTTTAACGGCTCACTTTAAATAATGTGTTTGCAAACGTGTATCGGAAAATTGTGTCAACTCAAATGAAATTGACATAGTATATTTTCAAAATATCAATTTTTATATTTTATATTTAATTAAAAATATTCAGGTAAAACTTATGCGTTGAAAAATGTGGTAATTACAGATCAAACTATGTTAGCTATTCATAAATGAACGGATTACTAGTAAAACCAATAGCAATAGATGAAGAAATAATAGGGAAATCATGCTCGAAATCAAGTAGTAAAGAATAAGAACATCATTACGAATTTACGACAAGTCTCACAGGTTAGAAATTTAGAATTCTTCTGTCCATTTGCATCCAAAAAAAAAAAAAAGAGAGGTGAGAATGACTACATATAAATTAAAGATCCAATAGTTTTGAGAGCTAGACTAGAAGGCCTAATCTCATATGGGCCTGTCAAGCTCAGCTTAAAGCTCAAAACATTTTATTAGCGAGTCCAAGTCTAGCACTCGTTTTAAATCCAAATTGATGAGGCCTAATTGGAATGAAATCTTTCACAAGGGTGAAGGAATCCTCACTTAGATCCCCACCTTCAAGTTGTTGTTAGTGAGGACTAATCTTACAACCATAAGGTTGTGAGATAATCCTTATTATTGGACCAAATGCTATTTGATAATTAAATACACGATTTCTTATATGTGAATTAAATACAGTACACAATTAGTCATATATGTACAGTGCGTTGGAAAATCGTGCAAGTTACAAATGAATAACACTAAATTTAGTGTAGTAGGTAGTACATCTAGATTATTAATCATCCCCTCAATTCTTCAAAGTGTTATTCATTTGTAACTTGCACGATTTTCCAACGCACTGTACATATATGACTAATTGTGTACTGTATTTAATTCACACACACACACACACACACACACACACACATATATATATATGAAGGGGAGCTCTAACCACTTGAGCTATCCCTCACTCTCTTTCAGTTTTATATATAACCTATTGATCTACTTTTTTCGTCCTTTTTTTCTCTACACAGTTTTATTTTTAGTCCTTTTTTTATCACGTTGTTTTATATTAATCACCATGGTAGGGACTGTGAGGGCAACTTGGTCACGTGCCAATGCTTGTGAAAAGTTGGGCCATAGGGGATATGAGTGTTTCTCTAAGGATCCTAACTGAAGCAAACAAGGAAATAACCAAGGAGGGAATCCATCAAGAAACTACCAAGAAAGCAACAACAATGTAATGAACAAAGGGCCACAACAGAATGGGATAAAGAACAACAACAGAGGGAATAACCAAGTGAATGGAGGAACTCTAGGAAAGCTAAATGTGATGAGTAGGCATGAGGCCAACGCAGCGAGGGATGTGATTACTGGTACTTATTCTATTAACTATGTTCCTTTTAAAGTTTTGTTTAATTCTAGTGCAAATTTTTCTTTCATTTCTAAAGCCATAATTCCAAAGCTATTGCATTGTTTGTATACCGTAGATGCTATAGATATTCCCATAGTTATTCCTATGAAAGGGGTAGTGCAATGTACCAGAACTTTTGAAGATGTCTCGTTTGAGATTGAGGGGAAAGAGTTCTTATATGATCTTATTGAATTTGAGTTGAGTGACCTTGATGTCATCTTGGGAATGGATTGACTATTCAAGTACAATACAAATATCTATTGTCAGTCACAGAAAGTATATTTAAGGACATCTAAGGGGGAATTAGTGACTCATGAGAGGCATGGAAAACCAAAGTGGACGGAGATCATTTCTATGATAAAGTTGCCTAAGTATATTAAAAAGGGGAACACATTATATTTCTACAGTGTCAGGAATTTGGACTATGAGGGCATAGAACTTGTAAATGAATTTCTAGATGTGTTTCCAGAGGATATTCCAGGGATGCCACCCAAGAGAGCAATTGACTTATGTAGGGAATTTTTCAAACTTTTATTTGAGCCCTACAATGGTTCATGTTTTTAGGCATGGCAGCGTTCCAAGGAAAATAAGCTAGATATAAAAGAGTCGCCAACAAGTTTTAGGACTTGTAAACCATTCACGGGTGTGAAGGTTACACCCCATTTAATGATCACAGAGATCTCTAACTCCATAGTGGTTTGGAACAATGACTGGATGTTCGGGGATGATGGTACGAATCCAATCTAAAAGAGATTGAACCCGCCCTAAATAGGCCTCTACTTAATTCTTATGATATTCATGCGCGCTTTTCGATCAACATACATACATCAAGTTAATCCTAAACCTGTTTAATCTATGTTGGTTGATTATTAATGCACAATCAAATATATTATTGGTGATCACTTGAATTAAAGTCATATTAGCGTTAAATCAAATTATTAATTTTCTTAATAGGCATGATTTCAAGTATAACTTTCCTTTAAACCTGCAAAAAGGGGCGTGATCAAGCAATGACAATAAATCATGAATAATCAAGCAACATATGATCAATACAACAATCATCATCATAGAAACATCATCAAAACATCGTTAGTAGTAAGATCCTAGGCATGATACTAAACGGATTAATAACAAACCCTAGCATGTCACTAATAATCAAATCAAAGAATTATCTATCCTAAACATGAGACTAGAAATCATAATAAGCATCCTAAACATGATACTAGGAATCATAATAACATTTTAAGCATGATACTAGAAATTATAATAACATTATAAACATGGTTTTTGCTCCAAAATCAAAAAAAATAATTAAAGGGATAATTGAATTACTCACTTTGATGCCTCAACTTTCTTGCTAATAAAACAATACACGCGTTAGTAAACTTCAATAAAGTTAAATCAATAAAGTAAATAAATCAAACCCTCAGAACTATCAACCTTTCACGCGAGATGGAAAGCAACGTCGAGAATGGCTTAGAGTATTCGAATCTCGTGAATGGGGAATTGTGACTAATTTGGGAGATTCGAGGATGTGTTTAGGCTAAGGCTAAGAACATGGGGATCAAGAAAGAGAATTGATGATTATTATGATTTTGATGATTGTTGATGATCTGAAAACAGGGAAAACGGCCTTTATTTATAAGGAAAAAAGAGAGTATAGACGATGAGAAAAGATCATAATTTGAATCAGAATAAAATAGTGTTCGTCGCGGCGCGACAGGAGTATCGCAGCACGATAGTGTCCATCGCAGCGCTTTGGTCCTACGATGATTTTGAAGATATCAAAGTTGTACGGAATTTAATTTCTAATAGAATTATGATTGTGAAACATATCCGAA